ATGAGTTGAACTTTTACCCCAAGTAGATACACTCCTTGGAGAGAACAATCATGGGAGAAAGAAGGGCTGCTTATGCATATGGTGACAGCTCAGGGGGCAGGAGTGCACGGAGGGATGGATACAGGAAAGAGGTAACTATGGGGAGAAAGTGGGAGGGGAGCTGTTGCATTGTGGTAAACTGTGGTCAATGTCATGAGACAAAGTGTAGTGAACTGCTGTATGGAAAGTAAATTTGCTCTGTCAACCTTCACCCAAATCACAATTAAAAAAAAAAAAAGAAATACAGAGAAAGAGAACGCCATCAAAATCAAAAACGTTTGTGCTGCAAATGATATCACCAAGAAAGTAACGAGATAACCCACAGAATGGGAGAAAATATTCACAAATCCTGCATTTGAGTTAAAAAAAAAAAAAGAAATCTTGCAACTTGGTAAAACTGAGCAATAACCTCATTAAAAAGTGGTCCAAGGCAAATTTTCACCCAGATCACAATTGTAAAAACAGGGCAAAGGATTTGAATAGACTTGCTTCTAAAGGAGATACATGAAAGGCCCACAAACACCAGAAAAGGTCAACATGATGACCCATCAGGGAAATGCCAGTCAAAGCCACAGGAGATACCACTTCACACCCAAGAGGTGGCGGTGAGAAAGGAACGAAACGAAATGAAAATGACAAGTGTCAGCGAGGATGTGGAGACACGGGGACCCTTGTGGAACCCGGCGGGAACGTGAAATGGTGCAGCCGCTGTGGAACGCTGCCTGGCAGCTTCTTGGATAGGCAAGCGGAGTTACTGGCACGGGGCCCAGCGATTCCGCTCTGAGGCGTCTATGCTGAGAAATGAGAAGCCACGTCCCTGTGAAAACCTGCAGCATCCACTACACCATTACTCGTGACAGCCAATAGCTCAGCACATCTGCGGGGAAAGTTCCATTCTCAGCACCAGGCTGAACTGGAAGGACGGATCCGAGGCCCTGGTACGGACATGTTTTCAGGAGGAACCCTGAAAACGTAAGGCTGAGTGAAAGCATCCAATCACAAAAGACTGGAGAGTGTAGGACTCCACATCTAGGAAAACCCTGAGTGGGAAAATCTATGTAGACAGAAAACAGAGGAGGGATCATCAGGGGCCGGGCAGGGAGACAGGAATGACTGCTAATGGGTACAGGATTGCTCTCTGTAGTGATGAGAATGTTCTAGAATGTGGTGACAGGGCACAACTCAGACCGGATTACAGCCTTGGAATTTTACACATTGGGAAGATTTGGTGGTACATGAGTAACAGTAACAAAGATGTTTTAAAAACAACAGAGAGAAAGGACTTACATAAGCCAGTCTCACAGGACAAACCTATAGTTTTCTAACTTTATTTTGCCCTTCTCTATCCATCTTCACACCCAAGTTCCAGTACAGTGCTCTGCACACGATGATGAAAACTTGGGAGTGACCCCTATCAGAAGTTCCCCAGCCCTGACGTCCCAACCTCAGGGATGCAGGCTCTCGGCTCATGGATACACGTGCCAGTTACACCAGTGTGCTCTCACTGGGTTTAGATGCCCCAAGGTATTGATCCCATCAACCCTCAGAGCAGCCAGGTGAGGCCACCGGCTGGTTACCAGCTCACCCCAACGCTCCGTAAAATACTCCCGTTTCTGACGTAAGCTACACCCAAAGAGAAGCTGGAAAGTGAGGCTGAGCAAAAGCCACTTTCCCATCTTAGTTCCTCCGCTCACTCCCTCTCTTAGGCGAGACACCCACCTCAGGGCTAGTGCTGAGCTGCCACCAGAAAATCGTGTCAGGCAACTGGGTGACGTTCACCCTCCCTTAAGACTCCTGGGCCCACTCACCCTCCCGGACGTCTGGGCCCCTCCTCTCGCCGAACCCTCCTGCCCTCAACGCACTACACAAACAACACTTTCCAGTTCCACCCCATCTTGCTCTGATAACCTAACGACCTCGATACTTAAAAGATTGAACAGAAAAAATGCAAGCACAAAAGCAGATGCATTCATAAACAAACGTTAAAGGTACAGTTGAAATACAACTTGTAATTTAATTAGATCTGTAGAATGTAATCAAAATGTCGAGCTGTAACTCCCCAGGCAAACTGTGACGTCTACCGTGTGTGTATCCTACCACTGTTGTTGCTAGCTGTCATCCAGTCGGCCAGCTCACAGTGCACTGCAGTGAATTACTTGCTATGGCTTTTCTAGCCGTAGTTTTTCTAACTCCCACGATTACTGGGTAGGACCATGCAAACAAGGTTATAGAACTCTGATATTGGGATGGGTTAGTTCTGTCAGTCTGCCAGGCTTAATATGAGCCACCTAGAGGCAGAGGGGGATTTCACTGCCATCAAGAGAGAAGAGCTGGAGGTGAAACAGAGTGCACTCTTGGACCTGAGATCCCTGCACTGGACCTCCTTGGCAGAAATGCCCTGGCAGAGAGAGACACCCCAGCAGAGAGAGACTTCCTGGCAGAGAGACGGTCGCAGTGGAACCAAGGAGCATGAGGCAGGGCAGCAGGTTTACAAGGCCCACAAAATGAGAAAGCTGAGTGCCCTTGGGCAGGAGGCTTGCTGGTAGAGTGGGGTGCACCTAGTTGTGTCTATCGGTAAAGCTAAAAAAAGCTTTGTAACATTTGCCCAGAGGCCAGGCAGAGAGGCCAGTGGACAGAGAGCCATGCCTGAGGACACAGCAGAAGGGAGACTGTCCTGATCAAAGAGCTGTATCCTGAGAGTGTTCCTGAACCTGAGCTGTAGCCTGTTACTTCCCTAATAAACCCCACAATCGTGAGTACTGCCTGTGAGTTCTGTGTGGCCATTGCAACGAATTATCAAACCCAGCAGAGTAGGAAGTGCCATGGGAGGGACAGCTGGTGTCGGAATTAGCAAAAAGGCTGGAGGGTGGCAGCACGTCTGGCCTCGTAGGAATAGGCCTTGGGCTGTGGATGGCGATTCTGTCTCCCTTTGTGAGGCTGGAGAAGGTCAGAGGTGAAGCCTCTGTTACAGTGTCACACAGTAAACTGTTCCATGAGGTTTTCCCAGCTCCAGTCTTTACAGAGGCGGTTTGCCCGGCACTTCTTCCATGGAGCTTCTGCATGCACTCGAACTGCCAACCTTTAGGTCAGGAGCTGATCGCAGAACACTCGCACGGCCCTGGCTCTGTGTTCACTGCCCACGTCTACTTAGTCTACCACGTGTTCCTCTAAGCTGGTCTAGGATTTCTCATGGGGCCAGGGTAGGGGCTGAGGCCCCCAGGCCTCCCACTCGACTCTGCTGGCTCCTTACCACTTTGTTGAGCTCCGGGCTGTCCGGGCTATTGTCCTGGAAGTACTCCACAGCCTTCTGGATCTTGGCCATGCTGCCCAGGTACTCCTCCAGCCTACCTGTGGGGCTGAGAAGGAAATGAGCTAGATCAGCTTGTTGTTGTTGTTGTTGTTATGTGCCATCAAGTCAGACCCGACTCATATCAACCCGTCCTTGGGTTTCCGAGGGGGTATCACTACGGAAGTAGATTGCCCAACCTTCCTTTCAAGGAGTGGCTGGTGGGTTTGAACTGCCAGCCTTCTGGTTAGCAGTCAAGCGCCTTAGGCACTACGCCACCAGAGCTCCTGGGATCAGCTTAGGGGGTGGTAAAGAGAAAGGACAATGAGCAAGGGGGTGACGCGGGGGACTCTCGGTCCCAGCATGCTCTCGCCTTCCGCTCCAAGGCCTGGAGTGGTCGGCTGGGAGGAGGAGGAATGGGGCTCTCTGGGCCTGGCTCACCCCTCCCTGATGGTCCTCTCGGTGTCACTGGCCACGTGGTAGTAACTGATGACGTGGTCCAGGCAGGACAGGGTCTTCTCCACGTTCTCCTGCAGCCGCTGCAGGGTCTCCGTCTGCTTATGCACAGGGATGATGGAGTTTTCCAGCTTCATGAGGCGGCTCTCAAACGACGACAGGATGGACACCTGTGGGGGCAGGGCCTCTGGCTTCAGGCCTTAGGGTTGTCCCAGTGCTGCTTCTAGCCAACCACCAGGCCTTCGACGTTTCCTGCCTTTCCCTCGCTGATAAGCTCCATGAGGAAAGGGACAGGATCTACTGGTTCACCACCAAATCCCCAGCACCTCACAAGTGCCAGGCACATGCCAGGGAGTCAGAAAAAGTCTGGGTGAAGTTTGAGTTGAAGGGAAGCCAAGCATCAAATTAACTCCTGAGTTAACCCCAAGACAGCTTCCCTTTCATCCTCTGAAGCCAAATCTCAATTTCTCTTCTCTCTGAAACTTTCTTAGACCCATGAGGAAATAGAGTCACCTCAAATGCATGGCTGACCTCTTCAAAACCCTCATTCTCTGAGGGGGACGCTCATTAAACAAGGACTAGGACTTTATCAGGGAGCTCTGGTGGCACAGTGCCTAAGGCATTTGACTGCTAACCAGAAGGCTGGTGTTTCAAACCCACCAGCCGCTCCTCAGGAGGAAGATGGGGTAATCTACCTCCATAGAGATACTGCCTCGAAAACCCAAGAAGGGGGTCACTCTGAGTCAGAAGTGACTAGATGTCAGTGAGTTTGGTTTGGAGGACTTTCTCATCATGTTACTGAATGAAATTCAAGTTTGTAGCTACTCAGTGGGAGCTCTGGTAGCATAGTGGCTAAAGGCACTTGACTGCTAACCAGAAGGCAGCAGTTCAAACCCACCAGCCACTCCTCAGAAGGAAGATGGGGCAATCTACTTCCGTAATGATACTGCCTCAGAAACCCAAGGAGGGGTCGCTATGAGTCGGGTCCGACTCGACGGCACATGACAACAACAACAACAACAAGTCTCACCCAGGAATAAAGGAAACTAATATTTACCGAGCACCTGTTGGCACCTTAGTGGTGCAGTGTTTAAGTGCTCAGCTGCTAATCAAAAGATCAGCAGTTCAAACCCACCAGCTGCCTTGCAGCAGACAGATGTGGTAGTCTGGTTCTGTAAAGATGACAGCCTTGGAAACTCTACAGGGTGAGTTGGAACTGACTGTACGGCAGTGGGTTTGTTTTGTTGTTGCTGTTGTCACTGTACACCGAGAACTGTACAATGCATTCATGTTTTGGTTCATATGACCTTCACAGGCACAGGAGACTGACATCATCTCTGTTTTAACAGACAAGCTGCTATAGACTGAATTGTGTCCCCAAAGCAGGTGTTGGAATCCTAACCCCGCTTACAGCTGTGGATGTGATCCTGTGTGGACATAGGGTTGTCTACAGGGTGTGTCCCAACCTTAATTGCTTGAGTTATAGGGAGTAGCGCAGAAACAGAGACAAGCAAACACAAACGGGGAAGACGTTATATAAAGATGGCCACAGGACTGGGGAATGCCAAAGCTAAAGAGGCCGGGACAACCATCTTCCCAGGAGCTGAATGGGTCTTCCCTTAGGCAATGCCCTAAATTTGGACTTCTAGACCCTTAAACTTAAGAAAATAAATTTACATCCTTTAAAGCCATCGCTTTGTGGTTTCTGCTACAGGAGCACTAGGAAGCCAAGACACAAGTTAACTGAGGGTCAGAGTTACTGGTCTGGAACCACACAGGGAAGCGGTTCTGTGGGTCTCCAGAACTCCCTTGGGCCCTGAAGTCCTCTGGGTGGAGGGCTGCCTTCTCTGGCCCCAGTAATCTCGGAGTGCCAGCCCACGGGAGACAGTCCCTCACACCTGTGTTGGAGATGGCAGGGACCAGTACCACGCCCACCTGGTCAGTCCCACTAGATGTCTGCCGAGGGAGAGAAGGGAGAGTCTGGGCAGAAAGCACAGAGTCCAGGCCAGTGGGGGCTGCAGGACCCTCCGTGCAGGGGTGGGGCACGGGCACGGGCACGGGGACGAGGTTAGACAGATGCCACATTACTGCCAGGGAACCGCACACCATACACGCATTACCACCCATGCCAGAACCCCAAAGCCAGAACCGCGGGGTCGCACAGCTCTCCTCCGGGGGCTGGAGCGCCGTCTGCTCGTCTGCTGAGGCCTCACTCACCATGTTCTTGGTGAGCTGGTCGCTCTTCTCTAGGCTGTCTCTGATGAAAGACAACGTCTCCTCTTCCTGGGGGAAGCGGAGGGGAGGACATCACCAGAAGCCGGAGACCAAAGGAGATTGAGAGCGTCCCCGGCCCTGACTCAACTCGCCCCTCGCCCCCAACCCCATCTCCTCGCTGGAAGCGCCTCCTCCCACCTGCCTCCTCGGGGAGTAGATGCGCGGGCCCCGATCTAGGCCCTTTTCCCTCATCTCCTCCCCCGCCTCCCCAGCCCAGCTCCACCTGCTTCAGCTTGTCTTCTATTTCCCGCCGCCGGGCGGACGCCTCCTGCGGAGGAATCATTGCTTCCAAGGCTGCTAATCCCACTGCCCTGGATCTAGCACAGCGGTCCCACTCGGCTCCCGTCCCTGTCACACCCACTTCCGGTTTTGGCCCCGCCCCTTGGTGCGCTGGATGCCATGTTGGGCTGGCAGGCGGAAGTGCGCCTGCGCGGGGCTTAGTAGCAGGCCGGGGCAAGTAGCCATCGTGGGTGTGGCTGGGAAGTGTGGCGTGCTTTAGTTTCCCGTTAGTGCAGGTTCCCTGCTTCGGCAGAGAAGGTTCCGGAGCGGTGTTTTGTGGCTGGCAGGATATTTACAGCTGGTTTGCAGGCTTTCCCGGAAGATAGACCCCTGTGACAGAGACTAATGGGAAAACGACGAATTCAGGGCCCAGGAGCAGATGGCGCGCTCCTAGCTGAGCGCCGCACAGAGCATGTCGTGTAATAGATGCCAGTATGTCCGTTTAATGAACCCAGGTCTTGTGTAGTCGTTTCCCCGAACGGGTCCAGAGCACAGACCAAAGTTGTGACTTGTGCGTGGCCCAGCCAAGTACCCGGGGTGGCAGAGCCCTCGGGGAACGTCCATCCTGGGAGCTCGCGGCGTGCTCTCCAATTCCTCCCTAGGGTGTCTGGTTTGAGACCCGTTTTATCTCTTGGGCTTGTGACCACGCTAGTGGTACAGAATCGCTTCTAACGCAGCCTGCTTAGGTCCGGAAAGCTGCATGAGGAAGACTGGAAGGTCCTGAGTTTGCACAAGGGATTGTGGAACCAGCACACGATCAGCTAGGGGGAGACTGAGGCCTCGCACCGCTCACGGCCTCGGGGGAAATTAGACGGGCTTGCGAGGCTGTCAGGGCCCGCTCTTCCGAGCTCCAAACCCAAAAAATCCAAACCCATTGCTGTTGAGTGGATTCCAACTCGTAGCAACCTTGTAGGACAGAGTAGAACTGCCCCACAGGGTTCCCAAGGCTGTAAATCTTTGATGGAAGTAGGCGCTGACGTTTCTCTCCTGGGGAGGGCTGATGGGTTTGAACCGCTGACTTTTCACTTGGCAGCAACTTCACCACTCTTCAGAGACCCAAACCATCCCAACTCCTTAGCTAAGACAGCATCTCCTAGGCACAGCTCCAGGGGAGAGAGCCGGAAGATGCAAGCCTGGCTGTTGCCGGCTCCCAGACATTCCCCACACATCAGCTTTTCAGCACAATTTGGCACCATTCCTTCCTCAGTCCCTTTCTTGTCCACTTGCCCTTTTGCTCCAGCCCTTGGAGAAGTAAATGACCACCCCATTTTATTCAGTCCCTCAGTGGCCTGTGTATCCAGGCACAGGAGGGTACATAACGGCACATATGCTGATGAGTAAGAAGGTTTAGGGGCACCAGGGTGTAGATTTCCCAAGGCCGCTTGGAACCCAGGATGCAACTGCCTAGGGAAGAAAGACAGACTGGAGACAGCTGGGCAACTCTTCAGCTGGGGCCAGAGGACACAGTTCAGAGCTGCTGGCTCACCATGAAGGTGGTGATGAAGGGTGGATCCCGGAGACACAGCCGTGCTGCGGGTGAGAGAGAAGAGAACAGGGTCATTGTGCAAATATACCCAGGATGATGTTACTGAGGTAGCCCCAAGAACCAAGTGGGGGGAGGTTTACATTGTTGCTGGCCACAGATGGACCACAGAGTTCAGGTAGACCAGCCCCGAGGGTCTCAGCCAGCACTTAACCTCTCTGAGCCTCTGAACAGCCCCTAACCTGTAGTAGATGCTCCAAAAAAAAAAGTAAATCTGCATTCGCCCAGAGGGAGAGCTGGACAGAGGGGAGTGTCTAGCTATGGGTACAGGGAGGGGCAGAGAGTTTGTTGTGGTTGGCGATGGTAATTGGGGCGTGAAATCAAATGTACACGAACTGTTGAATGTAAAACAAATTTGCTCTGTAAATTTGCACCCAAAGCGCACACACACAGACAGACACACAGGCTCATCACACACAAAATAAATCAATAAAATAACATCTCGCTCTCTAGGTTTTAGGAGGGTATGTGCTATGATGGTGAACTCATTTTAAAATTTGTCCAATACTGTTGCACTTTTGTAAATAACCTATGTGTGTGCTTTCTGTAGTCTCAAATTTCTTTCAAATCCAAGTGTAACTTGGTAGCCAACTCTATTTACTGCGTGTCTGCTGTTTGCCCGCTGCCCTTGTGTTATCCTGTCTGAGCCTAATAATAAACCTGTATGTCAGGTACTGCTCTGTCCCCCTAGAGCAGATGACATGCTCAGGCCCCCACCTGGCACGCCACAGCAGGTAACGCCTTGGCTGTGTTCCTTCGCCTCAGCACTCTGGGTAGCTCGGGAGTCTCATTTGTTACCATGAAAAGCTGCCACTCTGGTTTGCAAGAAAATCCATTGTCAAAGGCAGGCTGTGTTCACGGCATCCGTAAGTACTAAAAGGCAGAACGAGAACCAATGAAACCAAGCCTGCTGCTGTGAAATCGCTGTCAACTCACTGGCGCCCCCGTGTGTTACAGAGTGGTACTGTGCTCCATGGGGCTGTAATCTGTACAGAAGGAGGTCACCAAGCCTTTCTTCCACAGCACCGCTGGGCAGACTCAAACTCCTCACCTTCCAGGTAGTAGCTGAGCCAAGCTTAGTGCCACCCAGGGCCCCTACAGAAGGAAAAGATAACTTTAAATAGCCTCAAGCCACCATCAGGCACGTGTTAACAGCAGATACTGATTCAGTCAAAGCTGTAATTCTTCAACTACCCTTGGCACAAGCTGCTTTAGCAAAGGGAGCAAGCCACAGCTGCCACCTCCAAAGCCACCAACATCATCCACCAATTTGTGCAGAACACACAGGTGCCAGTCATAGCTAGGCCCCTGCTGCTAGCTCACAGGCAAGAGGGAAGGAGGCAGGAGAAAGGCAGGCAGGCAAGCAGGCAGGCAGGGTCTTCCTCTCCCAACAGTGTGTTTCTTTAGGTTCTTCCGGCTGGGATGTCACCTTGGGTACCATGCCCGCTTGAGTGCTGGAGGCCCTGTGGGACCCTGGAGAGGGAGGAGCTGGAAGGCAGGACCAGAATCCTAGCGGAATCCGTGCAGTGGCCAGCCAGGGGTGGGGCCTGTGGCTGGAAGAAGGGTGGATTCCTGAAACTCACTGGCAGGCCTGGAACTGAGGAGTGGCCGGCGGAGTGGCCGGGAGGAGGCCGGCTGAGGGCTGATCAGAGGCAGGCCTGGGGCCTTGTCATCACAGCTGAGTGATTGCTCTTGGTTTCCAAAAGAGGACTCAGGCACAAGCAAGAGGCAAGTCAGGCCAGCACGCTGATGGCACCGCCTTGGGTGACAGAAGGCCTCAAGTCAGCTCCAACAGGGCTGTCTCCTAGCTCCCTTGGCCCAAGCCAGAGCGGGTGCCCAATAAGTCTACAATGAACAAATAAGTAATGCATGTGTGAGGGCCGAGGCCAGGACGGTGAGGGAGGAGCAGGGGCATGGGGGGAGGGTCCAAGCAGAGAAGCTAACGCTGGCTCTAATCCCAGGATCAGTGACATACTCAGGACCGGCAGAAATATCCACACCCTGAGATGTGGCTGAAAACTCTGCCCCCCTTCCCGGCCCTCTGCTGCCAGGGACCAGCGCTCCCTGCCTCCCATTCCCACTTACTCAGGGCAGGTCTCCGGAGAAGTCTGTGCGGTGGGTGGGAGGGATTCTGGCTTTGAGGTGGGAACTGTGGACACATGTTCCCACAAGAGTGCATCACATGTGGTGTTGAGTCCCAGTGCTAGGACAGGCACAGGGTGGAGGAGGGAGAGTCCAGGTATGAGGTCAGGTGGGCCTCGGGTAACCCCAGCCCTGCCACAGACCCGCTGTGTGACTTCAGCCAAGGGAGGGCGTCTCTGAGTAACATACCGTGTGTAGGGAAATATGCCCCCTGGAGGATTTGGGGTAAAAAGTGACATAACCTATGTAAAGGCCGGGAGCTCTAGTAGCGTAGTACCTAAGGTATTTGACTGCTAACCAGTTGGAAGGAAGATTGGATAATCGACTTTTGCAGAGATACCACCTCAGAAAACCAAGGAGGGGTTGCTGTGAGTCAGGATCGACTCAACGGCAGTGAGTGTGGTTTGTTTTTTTTGGTGGCACTTAGTAGGTGCTCAGGGAAGACGCCTCCTGGAAGATTTTGGGTAAAAAGTGACATAAGGTATACATAAAGGGCCTGGCACTTAGGAGGTGCTCAGGAAATGTTAGCCAGCACCTGCCCCAGCTCCTCTTGGCCTGTCCACTGGAGCTCAGGCAGATTGGGAACTAAACAAACTCTGCAGCTAGTGTGGCAGGCTGCTACTTAGCAATGCGTTCTGGTCACGAACCATGAACTAATCCAGAACTGGGGTCCTCACCTCCTCTTGTGTGTCCCCAAAACAGGCCTGAGCCACTGACAGACAGCATCCCAAGCTGCCCGTGGGGTCACTCGTGAAGGTTAAGGGAACTAATCCTCAGGCAGTGCCCAGAACGTGCTGGGGGGAATTTTAAAGAGCAGAGGCCACAAGGCGCTGGCTGAGAGGACACGTGGATGCCATTTTCCACACTGTGCAGCTGAGGAGAGAAGCCTGGGCGATGTGTGCGCTCAGCCAGTGGCATCCAGTGCTGGCCTTTATGGTTTGCTTCCGTAGTCTGCACGACCACCTTCTGGGCTGGCATTACTGTCCTTACAGAAGGGGAAACTGAGGCACAGAGAAGTGTCTAGAAAAGTGCCAGAACTAAGCCTGGAAAGCAAATGCGTTCACTTGTGGTGTTGCAGGCTGGCTCACACAGAAATGTCAGTGGGCCTCCTGGAACCAGCTGGAACACTCCAGGACCACTGTCCTACCTGGTAAACGGTGTCCCTAGAGTTATGAGTCAGGACAGGGAACACTTCAGCCAGGCTTTCAGGGAGATCCTGGAGACTAGTCTGGCTCAGGGCCTTCGAGACACCAAGGTGAAAAGAGAAGTGGCCAAGTGGGTAGAGGAGAGCCCTGGCCATTATCCTGCTACCGGCTGCCGACATGCCAGAGCCCCTCCGCTGTCTGTGGGCTGGGTTAACCTTTGCCTCAGGACACTGGAAAACCCTGCCCCGGCCACCTGTTCCGA